AATTCACTTGTAAATTTTTACAAGTGAGTTTTTTGAATTGAAATCTCAATTCTTAAATTCATACGGGATGCTAGATTTGCATCTCACATATGAGAGACCCCGGATACCCCCCTAACTGATTATTAAAATATTGCGAAAAAAACTCACTTGTAAAAGTTTACAAGTGAATTCGTTACATGTGTATACTTATATATATATACATGTATAAGTTCTCGCTCAAACACCTTGAGAACGGCTCGTAAGGCCTTATATTTATTCATTGGTTTAAATTTCACGAGCCTTAAGTCTTTATTAAAAAATTTTTTATTATTCTGACTATCCTCCTTGAGAACACACCTCAGCCGACCCTCATTCCCCACAGTACCATTAAATAAGCCTTTAAGACGTTTACGAATCACATCGAAGATTAATTGTAACGGATAATTGTTGTTAAGAAGGATATTTACAATGAGCTGGAAATTTTTTTCATGGAACCTAGGATGTGAAAGGAAAAACGCTCTGTCGATCAAACCAATGATCGTTCCAATTTTTTGGCAACCAGGATGGTACGAATAGAAATTTAAGTAACGGCCAGAAAATGAAGGCTTATGATACCAATCGGTGATCAGATAATTGTCAACGATGGTCAAAGTTACGTCAAGAAAATTTAAAGAATTATTTTCACCAATCTCAACTGAGAATTGGAGTCTTGGATAATAAGAATTAAAACAGTCAAGTATCTCTTTATGATACGACTTAGGTGCAGCCAAGGCAATGTCATCAACATATCTTATATAAAAAGAGGGGATAAAAGAAAGCTTGCCGAGTGCGTAGTTCTCAAGGTCCTACAGAACAATAGAGGATCCCAACCAGGGATCGAAACGTCAATAAATAGTTTTTTCAAAATATACACACACATTACTTACTGTATCCCTTGGCTCACATTGGCCGTTTTATTATCAAGTTTTTGTTTGACAACATTGGAGCCTTTACGTCTATTACTTATCACATTTATGTTACATTGAAGTTTCTGTCTGTGCGTTGAATTCAGGTTGAGTATAAATCTAAGTTTTTGATCAGTACAACGTAATGGTACGCGTTACAAAAGAGTTTTTGTGTAAGCCCTAAACCTGTGCATTCTGTGCATATGATATTTGAGATAGGCTGCGTTCCGTTTCACGCATATGCGCGCATGTATCTATAGTACACGTTACATATAGTATAGATAAATGCGCGCATATGCGTGAAACGGAACGCAGCTATAATTTGATTGGCTGACGCAAGTTACGCTTCATGTAAAGGCAGTTTTACATGTCGCTTGTACAAGCAAATAAAACAATTCCTTCTTCTCTCGTCACTAAGTTATTGTAAAAGAAAACCCACTTTCTTTTCTACTGTAAATTATACACATTTACACGGTCCAGGCTAATAAGTGCTTTTCACGCACTTCTTGGTTCATATTTATTTTAACTCATTAAATTTATAATAATTGAATAAATTCTTATTAACTTAATGAATGTGGCAAATTTTGCATAATGGATAATAATTACATTTACAGATTGATTTTATCTGCATATTTCTATTATGTCAAAATTTTTTATACATTTTATCTACACATATACAACGTATATACACACACATTCACATACATACATACAATTTGCATATGTATACATAAGGTGCTTTCCACCTACGTACACAGACGACACTGTCGTAGACTAGTGTGAGTAAGACATACTGAAATACTCTTTCTCACACTAATAGACACAGTGTTACACAGTCTCGCCTGTGTACGTAGCTGGAAAGCGCTTGTTGATTTACTTTCACACATATACACATACAATTGTTTTACTTTTACACATATACATAAATATACATTTAAATATATGTATAAAATAAACTACCGGGTTTTTATTAATGTTTTAGTTATTATAATTAATTGTAAAACCAGATATAAATATTTAATATTATGTACTTCTAATCAATCAATCATGTACACATTTGTGATATTCTACAAGCTGCTCGCACTCAATATCTTGTACCTAATATATTGTTCAAATGTTACATCAAAACAAGTAAAGATTTATCTGCGACTGTGTGAGACATAAGAATCATGATATGTCTACTTTTAAAAAGAATTGCGCCAAAAATTTATATTACCAAATGTATATCTTGTTTAACAATTTGTTTATTTCTTGAATGTTCTATCAGATTTTCTCAATGTGCAAATATGTCAAGAAATATTTTTGATTATATTTTTATTTACTTTTATTTGTTTCGGACATTATTCTGTAAATCATGTCATCAGCACATTTTTCATTCTACATCGAAACTAACGTTTTATTTGACTTTAGCATTGGAAGATTATATGCGTGTTTATATGCGTGATCTATACTATTGATTAGTAGTAATGGTCAGTTGTATCGTTTCTATATTCACTATCAGTACGGAAAATCTATAATTCACGTTATATATACTATAGATATTCAGTACAAAACTCTAGTAAATTGCAGTTATAACAAAGATAGTGTATAGCACGAAACGTTGGCTGCGGTCTACATGGCGCTACTAACAATTTGAATAATTTGCTGTCGTCAATGTAGAAACGGTGCTTTAGCAATTGTTTCTACATTGTCATATATGTTTTACATCTACTTCAGTAAAGTAGTGAAACACAAGTGATATTGTGAAATACTAGTGATTTAGAAAACTAGAAAACTATTTTTTTTATGATATCGTATCAATATTGACTTGGACGATATTGATACAAGTGTATTTATTGTTATTTCTACCTGTAAAAAATGCAATGGGTAATTGGGCAAAGAGACAGAACAACAAGTCTCTCTCTGCACATAGACTGTCTCGAAAAAAACGCTACATACTAAGGTAAGTTGCAATACTTTATCTGTCTTTACCCACACACGATAGATTTCTCAAATTATTTTTTCAACATAGTTCACTACTTCTATATCTGATTTCATGTCATCTTATGTCTCTTTTTTCAATACAAATGTTTGAAATTTATGTTAAACATTAAATACAGAAAAATATTACTTGAAATATAATAAATTGGACAATCCGTTGTATGTGGATATTATTTTTATACTAATATATATAAAATATTTCTTTTCACTTGTAACTTTGAGTTTTTTATCAAAGCTTTTGACAACGTCCGGAGTCAAATTGTACATAAAGATTTATAAACATAAATACACGTAAGTCATGGACTTCTTTTATATACAAAAAAAATTATTTTCCTGTTTTTATTACAATGTACATTTATCTACCTACAAAAATAGATTTATCAATTTTGATGAAACTTATTAGTATAAATGTTTTACTTGGAACTAATTAGAAGATAATGGAAACGTTTTTAATAATTCTCACTAAAAATCAAGTTGTTCTTATTTGTAAAATGATGTTTCTTGCAAGTAATGAATTACTTCCATATTTAGCATGAATTTTAGATATATGAAAGAATTTTATATATTTCTTCATTTATAAATCTGTACGTGTTAAATTTTTATTGACATCAAAACACGTTGTTGTCAAAAACTTTGTTTCTTTTCTTATGTACTTGACTCTGGTGTGTGCGTGTGTATGTGTGGCCGTGCTCGCGTGTGATGTTCCAAATTAGAAAGAACTGATCGCAAATCAGCTCGGTCGTCACGCTATCTTCATACGTCATTTGTCGTCATTCTCGCTCCATAGAGTCAGACAAACTGAACATTCGTCTATCTCGTGTGGTAGGCGATGCAACAAAAAATATAACAATCCGGCAAATTGAGTCATGTGTAAATATATTGGTCTAGCAGCCGAGCTTTGTAATGGCTATAATATATTCCAAATTTGTAGCTAGCATTGATACATACATATATATACATAGATATATATATATATATGTATATATATATTATAGCCATTACTAAGCTCGGCTGCCAGGGTGTCTACGCACGTCTTGATTCGCCGAATTGTTCTTTTTTCTGTAGCATCGTCTGCCACACGAGAGACCGTTCTGTCTGTCTCGCTCTATCAAGCGAGAGTGACAAAAATAGACGTATGAATATAGCCTAGCTACTAAGGGTGCGTTCCGTTTCACGCATGGACCGCATGGAGTACAGCGCATCATATGAGCGCATTGGTTCGTTCCTTTTTTACACTTTCCGTGAAAAACGGAACGGACTCATGCGCGCTTTTTGCGCGCTATTTGTAAACAGACATGGCAAAGAAACCGGCTGATCATATACTCTCTTCCGTTGTTATTTGCAGTCAAGTTGATAGTGACACAAATTATTATCAACGTTTTTCGTCATCTAGCAGTGATTCTAGTGATGAAGAAAATGAAATGCATATCCTATATGCCATTATGATGGTGAATGAAACGCGGGGTGAAACAAATGAGACGGAAAAGTTGANTGATTATGTTGAACGAGTTGTTNAAGGATATTCTAGAATTATTTTTAAAGAACATTTTAGGTTTGTGCACATATTGTATATTTTCTGTTAATAAATAATAAATGCAAGCTGTCATATGTGTGACTTTGGTTATGTTGCAGAATGTTTCCAGAAACCTTTGAAATGGTTTTGAGACTTTTAAGACCAGCTTTGAATGCTACAAATGCTTGTGGAAGGAAGCAAATATCTCCAGAAAAACAGTTTTTAATAACATTGTGGTTTATGGCTACTCCAGATTCATATCGGTATTTGATTAAGTTAAAATCATTCAAAATAATAGTACAATATTGCAGCTGTAAGAGCCTATCTAAATAAACTTGCATAAATGAATAAGCATATGCATTAAAAAATTTAATGATCCATTAACACATGTATAAATAAACTACTTCATTTCCATATATGCTTATGCTCATGCAGTTATATAAATTTATATTGATAGGCTCTAATTNTATCATTTTGTGTATAGATCTGTGTGCGTCAAGTTTGGTATTGGAAAGGCTACTGCATTGCGCGCTGTGAGGCGTGTGACTTATGCTCTTCACTGCCTAGCACCACGTTTTATAAAATGGCCAAGAGGAGAAGAGGCCAACCATGTCATTGAAGAATTTCAAAGAACAAAGGGTTTCCCAGGTGTCATTGGAGCTCTTGATGGCTCTTTAATAGAGATACGAGCTCNTAAAAAAGATGCAGTTTCTTACATTTGCTGAAAAAATTATCCCAAATTTTCTTGTGACGTATTTTTGAACTGCGCCACAGAGAAAAAGGAGGAGATTTACTCTATCTCCGTCGGAGCTCCGCTTCTGGAGTTCGACACTCGGAATCTCTCCGAATTCGCAAGCTCGTCAGTTTTTTATTGGTTGTAGTGTGGGCGCCAGACACGCGTCCCGCGTGTCAATTTTCGAGACAGCTCGCAGAAGGAATTCGGGCCGACTAGCTCTGGACCGAACGGAGAGGGGCGGGGTGGTAGAAAAACGGAGTAAGGTCGCGGGTGAATAAAATGAACGCGAGAGATAAAATAAAATAAAACAATGTATTCTTGAACGTGCAAATAAACAAACAATAAAGATAATGGTTGATGATAATACGCGCGGAACGCTTCCGCGATAACGCACCGGGAATTCCCCGCGGGAATCGCAGTGCGGAAATGACTTAGAATAGTCGGCAACTTGGTTTTCCGCGTGACACGAGGAGTACGTGAATTCCTCGTGCCGCTTTTTCTATACGCGAGTTAGACTCGCAACGCGAAAACAATCTCAACGCGAGGTTTGCCGAACAAAAGGCCGGGTCAATGACAGCGCGCTCGATCAGCTGTTTCGCGTCAACAGCCTCTAGCTTGTTTTCGACGCGTTTCTCGTACTCGCGATTTTGCGATAGCTTCTCGGATCGAATAGAAATACTTTTCTATCCGATGTACAATTAGCGCGACGAAACGATAGCCCGGGACGATAGCACCCTGCGACTNCCCTTCGACCGCGTAATTAATAAACGATACCGCGCTGTCATTCATCTCCAAGCTGTATGTGATGCTCAAAGTCTGTTTACTCATTGCTATGCTGGGCATGCAGGGTCTNTGCATGATTCACGAGTGTTTAGAAACTCTCCTCTAGCTGAATTTATTCAAAGGCCAGATGAGTATTTTCCTTCAGATTCTCATCTTATTGGAGATGCAGCATATACAATTCACTCACATGTTATAGTACCATTTAGAGATAATGGACATTTTAGTGCAAGACAAAATAACTTCAATTATTNCTTATCATCTACTCGCATGGCCATTGAAAGAGTCTTTGGACTTCTGAAAGTGAGATTTTGAATTTTGCTTGATTGTCTGCCTCTCACTGATATCACAAAGATACCACAATTCATTATTGCATGCTGTGTAATGCATAACATCTGTATACTGCAAAATGACAATGTTGATGTTGTAATTTGTTCCAACAATGAGAATGTCTCTAGTATCATAATAGCAGATACAGATTTAGGTAACCAAAAGAGAATGAGGATTATGAATGAATTAAGGATGAGACTTGGGAATACAAATAATTAGATNAATCTGTGACTATGTTTATATTTAGCTATCTAACTTCTGATTTATTTTGAAGTAAAGTGATTTCTTGGTATGAATGTAATCTGTGAGATGTAAAGTGGCAGATGTAAAGTGGCTTGGAAGTATTCACATTAAAATGATTAAGCAAAAGTTGTCGATTTAATGATGATTTATTAATGAACAATTCAAGATAAAATTGAAATTCCATATGTATTTTCATTATGTATTTTCATTAACCAATAAATCAGAAACAATCTTGTTTGCTTATATACTGTACAATGTACTTACAAAAAAGAAATAAAGATTTAAAATAAATGTTTAGTTATTTATTGCACATATAGTTATTTGCAATTGTATACATACAGTAAGAATATTGAATTTTATAAATATTCTTTTTTCTTTTGTCGTAAAAGAAATTTACATATAATTTATACTATAAAAAGTACATATTTTTTTATATTATTACAAATGTTGAACAAATCTTTGAAAGAGAAAAAACATCGATCACTAAAGTATTGAAATCAGTAAGTATTGAAAAAACAAAAACAAATTGCATTTTCGGATCTCTTTCAGTGATATTACAAAAAAAAACCATTATATTAATTATATTTAAAAACAAATGTAATACATTACAAAACACTTTTCAGTCTTAAAACATTTCTTACGCCTTATAAAATATATAAAAAATATTAAACAAAGTAGTAAATCTGTATCACATTGCATTAAAAATTGAAATTAGAAAAGATTAAAAAATGATCTATTAGATTTAAAAACATTAAAATTTTTTCTGATTAGTTAATTTTTAATTTTTTATCTCAATTTTTAATACATATTGTTAAAATATATTATTATATTTAATAATCGGATATGGATTTTAAACGTATATATAAAAAGCTAAATAAAATTATATTTTGACTAGCGTGATGCAGTCTGTAACAAAAACAAAAAGTGAAAGCTAAGAAGTTTATTCTGTTACTTTTAACTGTCGTTATGTATTATTTTGCAGAGTTTTGTATCATAT